TTTTTTAAAGAGAAAACACAGAAACTTCAAATTTAACCGTGTATCTTAATTATCATTCGAAAGAACATACCTTAGCATTTATTTTTTGAAGATTATCTCTTTCACATGTAGGCCGCGGCTACGTCTCAAATGAACCGTTGGGTTCAATTCTCGATGACTCGTTCGAGCATTTCGACTGGTAACTGGCAAATGACACGCGTGATGTGTTGCTTCAAGGCCTGAAGCGAAGCGGTATTGTCCGCTTAGCGAGATAAAACTTCATAAAAATTATAACTTTTTCGACAGGCTAACATTTCGTTAAAATTTTTTACGATTTTGCAGATTCTACTACTAGATCCTTAAATTTGTTCATAGAGATTTCTGCCCACGGCTTGATCACTGGTGATAGTTGTGTTCCCCTTGATGAATTTGCTGTTGCAATAATTCCTTTAATATCTCCAAAARTTTTCGATTCGCTTCAGGTCTGGTGATTGTGAGCATGCGCTGATATTTTCTGTAAGCCCATACCGTAATGTTTAGATCTTCGTGTTTAACTGTTATCCAGTCTACAGCTTCTTCGTCTAAAGAGGTAATTTCCGTATACTCTCTTCTTTCAAAAAGACTCCTTTTAATTGTAAGCATTTTTACTTTTTTTWATTTGAAAATATACTTATACTCAAACTCAAGTCCTTGTATGGACGAAGGTAATTTGAAAATTTGGCTGGACTATTGTGTAAGTTAACATTACGATCTTCGATATAGCATATAGCTGTCATTCAAACTGTTAACGTTTTTACCTGTTATAATTTAAATTGTCTAYTCTAACAAAATAATCAATAATACAGAAGCTGTTGCTTTATTATTTTCAAAAACACAACGGTATTAATTCATTTTCATTTAAAAGTTAAAACACTTACAATTTCACTAATTGTTTCTTCCTCTTCTTGCAACTATGTAAATGCGTTTGCTTCCTTTTAATAAGTGGCAACCGGTTGTATAATTCTYGCTTCCTTTCTACCATGTTTTCCTTTCGTCATTTGTTGCTTTTGCTTGCAACGACATTTATTTTATTTGCCCACGGTTTTTTCTTATACACTTTCAATTTGTCTTAATTCAATTTGAATGTTAGAGTTGCATTCAACAAATGTCGTAGGACATTGATGTTTGTTGCCATAGGGAAAAACCACTTCAMTTTTACACAAACCCTTTAGTGCATAGCAAATAATTTGCGACGSAACAGTTGCAGCTCTCAGCGAACCATATTAATGTAGAAACATATGAGTATGGGCGTTTCGTGCATGGAATTTGAACTAGTAATCGAACTAGTCATAGAGTTGAACAGCGGAATCGATTAATATTTAATAGCCCAGATAGTAAACGAACWTGCATTTCAGCCTTTTAACGCATTTTGTATGGACGGGTAGCGATTTAATATRGTAAGACGATGTAGAATGACTATTGACGACTTTTTCCATTGGGATGGTTTGAATGGCGTAAGTGAACAAACTCACTTGAATGACAGACGGTTTGTGTAACTCTATTAAAAATCATGCACTCGATTTAATATAATTTTCGTTTTGCTGTGCTCTGCAATATATGTATGTACATATATACATATGTGGCCTGCGTGTAAACTAAACGCCCAACAGCAGTAACTTTTTATTAGCTTTATTAGTTATTCTTTCAGTGACTTTAACTAGTTTTGTACATACTATATGTATTYATGCGTTATTTCATCTATGTGAACTTGTTTTTAGTTTTCACTACATTTATGAATAATTAGAACTTGAAACACACATCCATAATTTGTTTAGAAATATATAATATCAAACGACAATGGTAAAGTAATCACCCTGAYTGCACAAGTCGAGGGTTCGCCGCTTTCATTAAGCTAATTATAGTAAATTTGTCGAGTTTAATTATTATGTTAAATAAAAATATGATTTCTCCTTGCAGGGCATAGCAACGGGCAAACTCCATGGTGCCATACTCACCAACACCGAAGAATGGGAAACGAAAGCGTTGGAAGCTGGTCGTAGATCTGGTGATTTATTAGCACCAATAATTTACTTACCGGAGCTGCATTTTTCGGAATTTGCGTCAGCTATAGCCGATATGAAGAACTCCGTTGCGGTAAGTAAGAGAGATGGAGAGAGAATACTGTATTTATTGCCGTCTAATACAAGCCATTGGCATGGCTGAGCGCATATTCACGTGCACATACATGCATACATATATTTACAGGGTAGTGCAAATTGTGATTTTTAACATTTGATATAATATTGGAATCTTCTAAGGAAATTCGCACTAATTTCAGTTTATGATTTCAGCCTTGTCCGCCACTTTTTTCGCAATATCTCATGCAACAATTTTTCAAGACGGGCGATTTCATTATTTTTATGATATTCAACTTAAGGGCTTGAAGCGTGAGTTGTTTCTTTATCTTACGTTGGGCCTATACGGTCATTCGCAAAAAGTATCTACGAGCTCGCTATTGACGTATTTGTTAATCCGATTTAAATATCGTTCGATTTGTTGTTTATAAATGTCCTTTCGAGAATACGGACCACCTTATAATTTGTAAGGCTATCTATTTCTGTACAAAAAATCTACGAAATCAACTTTTGATTGAACGTTATTTCGTTGTTGGACTACAAAATCTGGTTGCCACTCTTTTTGAACTTCAGTCAAAGTCAACTTTTTTGCCCATATGTCATAATTTTGACAGTTAATTATAAGTTGCCGGTTGAGCATGTTGTCGTACATAAATGCATCTATTAACCGAACTATACATATGTGAAAGCAATGCCACCGACAATCTACTTACAGTTACAGTTTAGTGTCTCTAAAAAGTCAAAGTTGAAATGGTCATTTCCTCTTTCGATTTGATTTTCATCGGTATTTATGACTCCTCGTTACTATTACGTGATCTTTGGCTCACAGTAGTTTGTGGTGGAGGAAATCTATAAATGAAATGGTGKCATACATGCAGTGAGTCTTACGCTGCCAAATGTACTCATCCTACAAAAACACTGATAAGCGCAACAAATACAGAATTTGAAATACCTGTCAAAAGCATTTCGAGTCATTTTAGTTCCACTGATTGACGTGCATGATTGATTTGTACGAATTATAAATGTTATCGCATCTTARGAGAATTCTTAATCATATGCGTACATATGTATACATACAAACTGGTATCACGTAAAAGTGAACAACTTTTTATCAATATTACAGTTTATTTATTGAGGCCTTTAAACTCATTTCGGATTTTTAATCGCATTTATTCGATTTGATTGATTTGATTGATTGCAGCATAGATTGTTATCGTGCGCCTAAGAGCTGTATTCGGGCTTACCTTAGTATATGTATATATGGTCAATAAGGGCCAAACTATTCGATATAATCCATGGCCATTTGGCCAAAATTTGTTTAACATTTGATAATATCATTACTAGCGGGGAAGTTTGGTTATAATTGGGTTTTCGATAACGTATTTACTACACAACACTAACAGGTGCCCAAATGTATTGGTGAAAAGCATTTTAATAACCATTTCTTTTTAGCAAAGATGCTTTATGTTTTCTATAAAAACTGTATTTTTAAGAAAGAGCTACGGTCGAGTCAAACCTAATATTTTCATATCCGAGATATTTATATTAAAATCGTCACAATTAATTCAAAAGATAAACAATATAAACCCAACCGAAGAAGCTAGATTTAATATATTTAGTTTCTGTGAAAAACCTCAACCAGGGAATAAGAGTCGACTATATTAGGGATATGAGGTCAATTCTATTTAAATTTAGCGCCGACATTTCTTAAGAAAACTTATGTGGTGAATTTCATTAAAATATCACACTTTGTTGGTTGTTACGGTTCAAAGTCAAATGGCAAGTGGGAAAATACGATATCGGGTATAGTGGGTGCTGCACTGGTGGCATTAATCATTGACATTTTAAAGTATGCATACTCAGGAGCATGTGTGTATGAATTTTTGGAAAATAATTATCACATTTGGCTCTGACAATTTGTCGGTCAGAATTCTGCCAAAATACCGAAAATCATTATAGGTAGTATACACTGTGACGGAAAAGCATTTGGAAAATGTAAATAAATTCCCCAAGTACATGATATTTACAAAAAAAATGAATTACTACGCCAAATATGAGCGCGATCTGTCAAACAATTTGTTTACAGCAGCTGCTTAAGGTGGTACACCTCAGTGGTGCGTTGCTATGGATAAAAATATCGAACAAAGAAAATGCGACAAATTTGGTACTGATAACTAAATTTCATGTGCGGAATCAACGCGAATGTTGGAAAAGGCTTACGGCGATTTAGTTTTATCAAAATTTCAAACCTACAAGCCTTCAAAGATGGTCGAGATTTCGTTGAAGGCATGCCTCGTTATGGACGATCGTCGACCTGTCCAACTAATAAAAATATTAAAGAGTGAAGGATRTGGTGTGTGAAAATCTACAGGCAAATATTAAAGAGAGGGCAAGGAAGCTCGACATCTCTCGCAAGTCCGTTCGAATGATAATTTMGTAGATATTTTGGGAAACGTGTACCTGCTTGCTCCACTCTTTCCGAAAAAGCTTATTTTTTTTCAAAAATAATACCCTAAACTGGTTTCTTTAGACATGCTTGATTGTGCGAACGTTGATCCCATATTCATGGAGAGTATTATACCTGCCGATGAGACATGGATTTATGAATTTAAGGCCAAAAACGCAAAGAATATCGTCGATCAACCACCGTATTCACCAGATCAACCACCGTGTGATTTTTTCTTGATCCCCAAACTGAAATTGTCGCTCCGTGAAACCCGTTTTCAGTCGTTCGAAGAGATGAAAAAAAATTCGCTGAAGGAGCTGAAGGTCATTCCAAAAAGTGCTTATGAAAAGTGTTTCGAGGACCGAAAAAGTCGTTGGCATACATCTAGTGGAGATAACCTTGAAGATGACAAAATAAATACTGCTGAATAATAATGAAACATATTTCGTTTTGTTTACAATTTCCGGGTACTTTTTTGTCACAAAGTACATATTGTCACCTGAAATGCAAAATAACGTATCATCAAAAAATTCGAAATTGAGTGTATTATTAATTACGCTTCACTACTTCAAATTACATACATACAAGTACATAAAAAGAACTTACGTCCACCATTTTCAAGTTCTACTACCAGATATAAACCAGTTTTAACCAATATTAAAATATTGTTTCACTTATGTTTCATTTTATTTCGTGTTTCATTCATTCCACTGTAAATTTCCGAAAATCTTGTTACGTTATTTTGCATTTCCGGTGACGATATATACATTAAGGTCTGTATATTAGCTGGACAGTGGCCAACGTTTTTTGGAAAGCGGTTGAGGGCATTTATTGTAAATAAAGAAAGCATAAAATTCGGCGAAGCGAAAAGTGCAACCTCTAACGCAAGCAGGCAAGCTTCCCCAGCGACGAATGTGTTGTGGCTGTTGTCATTGTACTAAACCTATACGTAAATCGCCCAACCAGTCCTTAGCAAAGAAAGCACTCCATAGAAATTCTGAAACAACCCACTATTGGTACTCATAGAAAGTGCGTGTATTCTGACTCCAACGAGATGTCACTTTATTACTTCACATTGCTTTGTGTGTTCCTTTTATATTCTTTGTTTGCAACAACAACGACGTGCAGTTTTGGCGTTCTCATACACACCTCCTGACTAGCATTTATTTAAGAACCGCGTCTATTTTTATATTTTTCACCATACAACTGTTTTCCATTTTTGTTTTTAATTTTGCAAACTACATTTCCCCTCACTTTGCACTTCCTGTTGGCGTTTACTATTTTCCTTTCGTTACTCGCTGCATTGGTGTGTGTTTGTAATTTTTAAAATCGCACCGGATAGCGCCATAAATCAGCACTTGTTTAGTTAGTTGCAGCGGTGGCGCTATCAGCATCATCAGACTGGCAACAGGAGTCAATACAGCGGAATACAAACCGCAATTCGGGCGAATATTTATAATAATTATTTATTTGTGCAACATCCACATGCAGGCTTGTAGTTGCACAGTCTTCTAGGCCACAGGGCTCTTTCATAAAATAACCGTCCGCCCGCCGTTTATATGCCCGTCAGATATTTTTATTGTTTAAATATTGGGAATTGCTCTGTGGTGTAGCAAACATGCTCACCAAGTTCTCCTGCTTACACATAACCTCAACTCTGCGCGGAAAGCTACTAACATCATATGACTTTGTTATTTCAGTACATGTATTTTTTGTCGTCTTGTTTTTCTATTTCTTATTTTCTCTCGGTTAAATATTTGTTGCTCCCCAGAGCTTGTGTTTATGAATTTTTTGTTGTCTTTTAATTCACACTGGAAAACAATATTCATATTTTTTACGAAGTCACTAAAAAATTTCTTACTTGAAATGGTGTGGGAACAACTGAAACGAACACATGTTCACTTAATGTCAATAAAATATCCTATATGTACATATATTATCCTATATGTTAAGGATAAAGTCTATTATATGGACGGGAAATATTATATTTAATATTATATATTCGGGTTGGAGCAAGGTCTAGTCCGATTTAATATATTATACTTTTGGTATTAATTTAAAGTGAGCTCCAGTGTAGCCAGAGACAAAATAATTATGGTAATTTTTAAGTAATTCTATTTTTTTTTATAAAATTATTTTATTCTATGAAAGTAAAAATATAGCCTCATTAAATAAAGTCCAAGCTTAAGTTGACAGAAATAAAAAAAATAAGAATAATTTGAAAACGAATGGCTTTTTTTAAATTAATAAAATGGCGCCTACAGGAAATTTTTACGGATTTTCGGGAAGGAATGAACAGTTACTTTATGTTAAAAATCGAAAGTAAAAAACCTTCGATCAAGCACTAGTTTTCATGTTTTCAAGAAGTTGTATACTTTTAGTAAGTGGTAGATAATTCATGAATAGATTTCATTAAATTCAGATCTTATCTACATGTGATATTTCCAGMGAAGTGGAGGTCTTCCTCTTCTTCTGCTTCCGTCTTCGGGTMCTGCGTATGCCTGTATTGTACTCTCAGAGCTGAAGTGTTTTTATCCATTCCGACGATATGACTTAGCCAGCGGAGCCGCAGT